CCGTTGAAAAAGCGGCGTTTTGCGACGATTGAGGAGATTAAAACCGTCTAGAATATAAATTGATGACAAAATGAATATTTTTCGAGCCACCGTATTCACCAGATTTGGTCCTCAGCGACTTTTTTCTATTGCCAAGATCGAAGAGACCCTTGAAATAACGGCGTTTTCCGACGATTGAGAAGATTAAAATCGTTTCGAATAGAAATTCGATGACTAAATGGATAATTATCGAGCCACCGTATTCACCAGATTTGATCCCCTGCGACTTTTTTCTGTTGCAAGATCGAAGAGACCCTTGAAAAGACGGCATTTTAGGACGATTGAGGAGATGAAAACCGTTTCGAATAGAAATTGATGACTAGATGAATATTTTTCGAGCCATCGTATTCTCCAGATTTGGTCCCCTTCGACTTTTTTCTGTTGCCAAGATCGAAGAGACCGTTGAAAAGGCGGCGTTTTGCGAGATTGAGGAGATTAAAATCGTTTCGAATAGAAATTCGATGACTAAATGAATAATTATCGAGCCACCGTATTCACCAGATTTGGTCCCCTGCGACTTTTTTCTGTTGCAAGATCGAAGAGACCCTTGAAAAGAGGGCATTTTAGGACGATTGAGGAGATGAAAACCGTTTCGAAAAGAAATTGATGACTAAATGAATATTTTCGAGTCACCGTATTCTTCAGATTTGGTCCTCTGCGACTTTTTTCTGTTGCCAAGATCGAAGAGACAGTTGAAAAGGCGGCGGTTTGCGACGATTGAGGATATTAAAATAATTTCGAATAGAAATTGATGCCTAAATGAAAATGTTTCTAGAAAAATTTAAATTCACCTTATTTTTTCAACAGACCTCGTACGGACAAAACAGAGCCCTTAGTATTTGTTGCACATCATTCATTCACACGCTTCGTAGGTACTACTAACTTTTTTTTAGCGAACAAATAGAAAAGTAGACTCACCAGTTGTCGAAAATGTTGATTTTTCCAGTTGACTACTTTCGCCTATGAACAGTCTGGCCTTGAAGTTTTTCTTTGGATACGCCTATCATTTTGTAATAATTATGTCCGCATTATTCATCATTTATTTTACAATTACAATAATTGGAGCTAATTACACGGTGATTGGTACTAAACTCTTCCTTCCTTGGGCTTCTAAATTAATCTACTAACATTGCTTCTATCATATTCTTAGAAATAAGACAGTTTTCGCAAGTGGTGTCGACATGAAATTTTTCTCTTAGTTGGTCATTTTTAGTGCTATATATTAAAAAATGTATTTCAGACTAGCCATTATTCAATCTAATCTGCAGTTTTGAGTGATGAACAACTGTGACTCTTCGGGATTTTTTTGACTCAATATCACTTTCATGAAAGGGAAATACAGATTGAGAATACACAAACTATTTATTATTTTCATATATATTTCCCGATAAAATGTTAACTGGAACCACTTTTCCCAACCACCAGACCTGCAACATTCTTCTAGACGCACGTTTCTTCAACCAAGTTGTCTTTTTTAGGTGATGAAGTAAAGTCATTCCTAACTCTAGAATTGGTCTTCATTTTTATCTAGCAGGGAACATTATCACCAAACGATACACAGCTCATAGAAGCTCATAAGTATGATTTTAGTGTATCCTGAAATGTATAGTACGTACTGTGACCACTAGAGGGCGATGGCAGTACGATATGGGTATTTAATGTGGTTACCAATAGTTCGTTTGCCGCATATAGACGCTACCCACAAGTATATCGATCCGAATTTTATTGTCCTTCCGTATGAATCAAGATGCACTAACGGATTAGATCGTATTTTAAAAGTTGAACATGCAAATAGTCTTCAAAACTTCGTGTTCACTTGAACAATTGTTAGGTAACCCTAAAGATGTCGGAAAATGGAAAGTCTGGAATACATGAAAAAATATATATCGGTCAGACTAAGCGAGCTTTTGAAACTCGTGTCAAAGAACACGCAGCACATATCCGATTCCGAAGACTAGAAACATCTAGCCCATTGTTCATCTTTTTAGTAATTACTCTGTTGAAATTATCAGGAATTTTCACGATAAAATTTCCCTCAGATTTCTACCCGAAGTCATCGATGTTAAAAGTTAGGAATCAGTTTACACCATCTCCAAAAGACGCTAACTTTGTCGGTGAAACGTACGTCGAGAAGAGTTTTGCAGTTCTGGTGTTCGGGAAAAGAGCTTGCTTTGATTTTTGTTTTTTTTTAATTTGAACTTCCGGTTCCACTTCCTTTTTTGGATTTTTTCCGGTTTTTTTCATTTTTTTTCTTGGCCGTTGTTTTTTTTTTTTTTCGGTCAATCTATAGGCATCTGATTATACTGAACTGAATATATCTCTACTCAAATCTGCTTGAAGAAATAATGAACACATTGATAACAACTAGTTTGGAAAATCAAATTGATGCCGTGGAATAATTATACCATCGTTAACTTCAACATTGTCATTCCAAACGGCACAAATACAGGCCCGGCTAGCTCAGTCGGTAGAGCATGAGACTCTTAATCTCAGGGTCGTGGGTTNTTTTTTTTTTTTCGTAGCACGTTACTGAAAAATTGGCTTTTATTATATTATTTATTATTCTTCCCTCGGAAAAGAACAAGCAACTCTTGAATAATTGTCAACGGTGGGTTGTTTCAATTGTATGTATGTTATTCAACGTACATATTAAAAAAAAGGCCTTAAATCTTTGTAAACTAACGGTAAAATCAAATTATAAATCAAGGGTCATTTGATATTGTGAAATATTTCGCTTCGAAAACTTGACATGGAGGTTTTTGGGTACTAATCTTGTAAATCCTAAAAAACGCTCAGACAGGTCTGAGCAGAGGGGTGAACAACCTTTGGAATTTTACTAGGGACCTGGGGGCGAGTCGCACATCGTTTGAAAGATCTTGGAATTCTCTAAACAACAGTGTACATTTTTTTTTAATTTGGACGAACCATATTAAATTTAGAGTTGAAGTTAGCATATGCTCAAAATAAGCACCTCTAGCTTCCATGCATTAATAGAGATTCTACTGGAAACGTCCTCTAACATTGTGGAGCATTTCTGGAGTGTTTTGGCGACATTCATTCACAGAAATGAATCTAACGGCGAAAGGTTTGGTGATCGAGGTGGCCATTCGATAGTGCCTCGCCTCCCAATCTAGTGATCCGGAAAAGTCTGATCTAAATACTGCCGAACAGGCAGAACATAGTGCGGAGGAGCCCCATCTTGTTGAAATATCAACAGATCCTCCCGATAATTGTGGTCATTTTCAATAATATCATTGAGAAGGGGATTAATAGTATCTTCCAGAAGCTCCAGATACATTTGTCCGGTTGAATTGCCTTCTAAAAATAATTGGCCAACAATACGGTCACCAAAAATTCCAGCCCATACATTTAATTTTTGTGGACGTTGAGTATGCACTTCATGAAAAATGTGAGGATTTGAATCAGCCCAATAGCGATGATTATGGCGATTAACTGTGCCATTTAGAAAAAAAGAACATTCATCATTGAAGCACTCGTTCACTAACCAACTAGCAAAATTGCAAGCATCGATCGAAATCATCTTCATTCAGTTCTTGCGTTAATTTAATCTTGTAAGGATGCATTTTGTGGGTTTTTAAAATACGCCGAATGCTAGTTCGTGACACCCCGGAAACAAATGCTAACTTTTTTGTATGGTCAAAGTATGGTCAAGCTCAACATGGCCCAGAATTGCCACTTGTGTCTCCTCATTTGTTACTGGTGGTTCGATTTGCCTTTTTTTATTTGCTACAGATCCAATTGCGCGAAATTTTGCAATTAAATCGAAAACATACTGTCGCGACACATTATTCCCATGTTGTTGATTGAACAGTTCAGCGGCTCTCGCTGACAAACTCATTCAGCTAAAATTGTTTAAATGCATTCGACATACTGCTAATCTCCATTTCTAAAAAATACTGTTTCTGAACTGTCGCTATTAGAAAATCTCTTCTATTTTATTTGCTACAGATCCAATTGCGCGAAATTTTGCAATTAAATCGAAAACATACTGTCGCGACACATTATTCCCATGTTGTTAATTGAACAGTTCAGCGGCTCTCGCTGACAAACTCAATCAGCTAAAATTGTTTAAATGCATTCGACATACTGCTAATCTCCATTTCTAAAAAATACTGTTTCTGAACTGTCGCTATTAGAAAATCTCTTCTACCTACTAACACTGCTTGCTTGGGGCTTGGTCCAATATTTTTGAGTGAATAGTTTATATTCTGGTTGTGAACTGGGGTTAGTTTTTCACATCATTCACTATATAAAAGTTCATGATTTGGAAGTCTTACAAACCTTATTTTCACTTTTCTTCAAGGTATTCTTTTTTGTTCAACTTCCAGAAATGCCTTCATTTCAGTACCTAAAATATTCAGTGTCATTAAGACTATTCATTTTCACTGTTTCAAAACATTAAAAAAATAACTCCATCACTTATAAGTCTATCTCATCAAAAAAATAACTAGATGATGAAGTACTTGTTATGGGGTAACCATCAATGATTTTTTTTTTTTCGGGTAGCAAAAAGTTTCTCTGAATCAACTTGATGAGAGTAATCTCTCCAAAGCTACGAATTGAAGAGATTCTAAATAAAATTCATGAATTGTAAGTGATGTAAGTTGCAACTCCCTTGTTACTCCAGATGTGGCTTCTTCAACCATGTGGGGTAAGTATACTCGATGTTTAAGTAACAAAATATCCTTCATTTATACGAAGACTTCTATATTTTTGGCACTAGGAATATACCTCGAAGCCTTTTTGTGGAATTCATTCAGTTTAGTTGTGCAGTACAACATTGCGCAGCCAAACTGTTTAGAAGCTCCACCAAAGAGGACCTCTTTGCCTGCAGCTGCTGCAATATGCTTCTTCTCCTCTAATCTTTCAAAACCCGCAAGCTTTCTAACCTCATTTCTGCCAAATCTTCTCATTGTTATCATTATTTCTCCTTCTCCTAGTTCCTTATCAGACCTCTCGTCGTTGGACATGGTATCCCTGAGGCAAGCCTTGCCTCCGAGTCCCATTCCCGAAGGGGGAAAGTCGAAAAGAAAAACCCACCACATCCACAAAGCGAACACCATAGGCATCCCTTCAGATAAGGACTTGTTCGACACCAAGAATAACAATCCGAGATCGAGACGGAACTTTTTCGAGGGGTTCAAGAATTCTTTGAAGCACAAGCATAAGAGTGATCCGATGGGCTTACAAGCTATCAAGGAGGGAGATCAAGCGAATTTGAACAGGAGATGGTCTGAGGATAATAAAACTACGGTGAGTAGTTGATGAATTTCGTGACATTTGAATTTGGTTCAACCCCAGTTTCACTGCTTTTTTACGAATACAGGGTGTGTATGGTCGTCATGTTCTTCCACAGACGTGATTTGGAGGTTGTGATGAGAAACCAAAAATAGTAAAACCATTTTTGTATTGTTGCACTACACTGCACAATTAAACTCAACTTTATTTCACTGCTACATAGGCGATACAACATAAACACTTAAAATGAAACCGGAGTAACACTCAAATGTCAATCGCTTTATTAGAACACTTCGTAACGCACTTTCAACTAAACTTCCTCGATCTGCGTGTTGGTAGTGTTTATATATGGAAATGGAAGTCTCTGGAGGCTGATAGGGAAGTCGTTAGAAGTCTCTCGAAGCGACGCAATATCTAGAACCATCGCAAAGCGCAAGTCAATTTGAGCGCAACCTTGGCCAAGTCACAATCAATTGAAGAAGACCAGCGGCGGCCGTCGTTATTTTTTCAGGGATTGATTTCCAACATTTTGATGTAAAAAAGCAATAGTTGGCCGAAAATCGTTCAACGACATCATATAGTAATAAGCTGAAAAGAAAATTTAAATTTGGAAAAAAAACGGGCAGCATCAATGCATAGAGTACAAATTTAATTTCTTCTCGATCAGTATACAATGCATTTAATGCACAGCCTATCCGATATTTCACGCCGAACATTTTCGAACACAGTAACGTCAATATCTCTACAAATATTTTCATTGTTATATAGTATAATTTTTGACACCCTGCATATTTATATAGTTTTTTTTTTAAATCCGCCGTACAAGATGAAGTATATCTTTTGTAGCACGACCAAAACTTGATACCACTTGGCACCCAAGCCCGCTTGAATACAAAATGGCAAGACCTGAACCAGGGCGAGGTGGTCGTGGTGACATGTTATGACCCCATGCAAGGCTACTTGGTCAAGCGTAACTCGAACGCTGAAAAAATATGGGTCCCTTCCCACGTTTTATCCAACTTCAACCGAAAACAGGGCTCCTTCAAGTTCCTATCGAAATCCAAGAAACTCCTGGACGACAACTCTGAGGCGGAAACGTCAGCGCCCGAGTTCAAAGAGAAGCTCAAAGACTTGACAGTACCGAGCGGTTCCAAGGCGATATTCGTGTGCAGAGTGAAGAACTACGGGATGATCACGCAGCAGGTTTGGGAGAAGCTGGAGCCGGAACGATACTTATTGGGAAGCGGGAAGTGCTTGCTGGACGGTCAGGAGAGGTTGGTGATGTTCACCATCGATAATGCCAAAGTGTCGGATTCCGGTACTTATGCACTTTCCATTACCAACGAATACGGTACTGCTGCCTGTTCGGCTGTTTTGACCGTCACGAATAGCTTTTCTTCAGTACCGGAACCCAAGGTGAGTAGAGAGAGAGAGAGTGAATATGCTTCAATGTTTACATAATTGAGTCATGGTTACAAAGCTTTTTTGAAAAAATATATAATACAAGCACACAAATACATAAGAAGTACAATCAACTTGAAGTATGATTACAAGAGATGAAACTGCATAACAAAGTTGTGAATTATGAGTCAAGTTTGAAAGTAATACTCACATCGCAAATACAAACATTTGACAATTATTAATAATGAAAGATGAATGTTTACAACTAAGATCATTGAAATATTTTTCAAGGAGGTAACAATTGAAATATTTTTAGAGCATCTTCCGCGTATGAATCCGTTTTCTAAAACGATATTTATATTTAATAATGTGTTAACCGAAGAATGGCTTTTGAGCAAGTCACACTTTTTTTCTGAATATCGCCTCGAAGCATCGAGACAGGTCAGAAAAGTGACAGTAACATACGTCTAAATAATGGGTGATTTTTTTCCTGGTATATTTTTGTCAACACTGTTTTTGACAGTTAATGTGTTACCGAAGAATGGCTTTTGAGCAAGTCACACTTTTTTTCTGAATATCGCCTCGAAGTATCGAGACAGGTCAGTAACATACGTATAAATAATGGGTGATTTTTTTGCTGGTATATTTTTGTCAACACTGTTTTTGACAGATCACGCGTGAGTTGTGTCTTGTGTCATTGTCAAACTTGTTCAGTTTGGTCTATAATTTAACCATGAATAGACTTACGAATGAACAACGCTTGCAAATTATTGAATTTTATTATCAAAATTTATGCTCGGTCCACTTCTTTCAATTTATGGGCAGTTTCGTCGGCCTACTGAGGGAGCTATTCGAAAGCTTGTGACTAAATTTCGAACCCAGTTTACATTATTGGACATTAAACCACCATACGTAGAGTGAGGACCGAAGAAAATATTGCCGCTGTATCCGCCAGTGTTCGTGATGACAGTGAAATGTCGATTCGCCGCCGTTCAACAAAATGGTGCCACACGGCACGCGAAACAATGGCCCAATTAGGATCCGCCTTCGGTGAACAGTTCATCTCACGTTTGGGGCCCGTCAATTGGCCGCCTAAATCGTGTGATTAAACGCCTTTGGATTATTTCTTGTGGGGTCATGTTAAGGCTCATGTCTACAGGGATGAACCAGCAACGACTGACTCTCTGGAAGCCAATATCGAAGCATTTATACGTAAAATACCGGTAGATATGTCAGAGAGAGTGTGCCTATCAAATCCTATACCTCTTAAAAAATCACCCATTAGATGCATCTCTCAATAAGCAGAGTTTTATTTCAGTGTTCAAATTGAAGAAACTTTAAGTTTAGTTCAAAAGTAAATACAGTCCACTAAAACCTGTTCAAGTCAATAGAGGTACAATATAACGTATTCTAAAAATACTTTATTGTGTGATTTTCACTAGATAGTTTTACAAAAACGCAACACGTGTTTCGCCATACAATGGCTTCCTCGGGCATGTCTTGTAAAACTATCCAGTGAAAATCACACAATAAAGTATTTTTCAACTTCAAATATCTCTTCCTTCAGGTGCAAGTGCTCTCCAGTTCGAGTGCCCTCTTAGAATGGGAGAGCGCGGATCATTCCCAATTCGTGGTCGAATATTGCAGGTTAGGCTCGGGAGAGTGGATCTCCCCCAACAACAACCAACCAGTCAGTTCGCATCAGTTCATCGTTGAGAATTTGATCCCAGGCGAAACCTACAGTTTCAGAATAGTCTGCTTACAAAATAATTACGTTAGTCTACCAAGCGCTGCTGTCTGTTTGCCCGCAGCAGAGAATTTGTGTTGGCAGCAGGAGCAGTTCAAACGCAGGTATGTTTGTTTAATAGAATTAATGCCAATTTTGACATCACATCAGTCCTAATTTTAGTTTCAAATGAAAGTTCAATGTGACAAAAAAATCTCCCCATTGCGATACCCACACCAATTCAATTTGAAATATTTGACTGACTTTCAACTGAAATATTTGACAGAATTTTAACGTATAAAAAAATCTATGTTTGTCAAATATAACCTTGAATGGTACATTGAACTGTGTGGCAGAGGGCTCATATTTTTGTATGATGGGCTGACAGTGACAAAAGAAACTTCCCATTGCGAGACACATCCTAATTCTATTTGAAATATTTGACAGAATTTCAACGTATAAAGAAAAGTTATGTCTGTCAAACATAACATTGAACGGTACATTAAAATGTGTGGCAGAGGGCTCATATTTTTGTATGATGGGCTGACAGTGACAAAAAATTCCCCCTTTGTGGGCGTGTCCCAATTCTATTTGAAATATTTGACATTTGACAGAGTTTTGACATAAAGAAAAGTTATATTTGTCAAGCATAATCTTTTTGGTACATTAAAAAGAGTGGCAGAGGCCTCATATTTTTGTATAATGGGCTGGATGGGCTAAAAGTGATTAAAAAAAATCCATATTACGGAACCTGCCCCATTGGCTATCCCAAAGGCCAATTCATAGTGTTGCACAGTCTAAAATGGTTGACAATTTTTAAAAATTATTGATGCATTATTTATAAAATGTTTGGACATTTCACAGAGTTTTCGGCTATAACAGCCGAACTTTAGACATATAACTTCGAATCACACAATAATCTGATGTAATGAATCACTTTTATTCACAGAATTGCATTGAGTTTCTCAAAAATCTATAAGGTTACCATACATTATCCTCAGTCATGATGAGATGTGACCTTTTGCTCACTTTTCTTGTTTGCTACATATTCATCTAATCATTGATTATTATCACGAAGGTTGGTTGAGTAACAGGATCAATTTTTTTCAAAAAACAATTGTGTTCTTGCCGACGTTTCGAATTCAATTAAATTCTTCTTCAGGGCTCTGGCTCTACCGGAATGTTTTGCAAATTCATCATTGTACCATATCCTTTGGTTTATTGTAGGTATATCGAACTGGAAGAGATCGGCCGAGGTCGATTTTCGGTGGTTCGTTTAGCGCGAGATAGAGGTACGGGCGTTGAAGTTGCGCTGAAGCAGGTTTCCAGAAGAAAACAACCCCAGAACGTAACGCAAGCTGAAAGTTCGTTGCTGGCAGAGATGCAGCACCCAAACATCATAAGGTCGATGGCTCTTTTCGAAAATGCACCCGTGCCTGGGGTAGATACCATAGTTATGGAGCTGTACGTATAGATTCTAACCTAAGAATATGTTTGTTACATTGTAATTCAATGATATGAACCGAATTTGATGTGATTTAAAAATTTCTCAGGGTCAAGGGACCGCTTTTGTTCGATTATATCTGCGAGAAGGAACAGTACAAGGAGGAAGATGTTAGAACTTACACCCGACAGCTCATATCAGCATTGGAGTGGCTTCATCGCAATAAAATAGCCCATCTGGATGTTAAAGTAAGTATTTTGTTTGGATGTACAGTTCATTGAAAATTCTTATGTTAAGCTAGTGTGATTCTTCAAATTACATTAAGAAATCAGAGAGAGAGGGATAGAGAAAGAGAGAGAGGGGAGGGGGACAGAGAGAGAGTAAAAGAAAGGGAGAGAGGGGGGGGAAGAGGAACAGAGGGGCAGAGAGAGAGGGACAGAGATGGAGAGAGTGAGAAAGGGACAGATGTAGAGAGAGTGAGGGAGGGACAAAGAGAGAGAGAGAGAGAGCAAGGGACAGAGAGAGAGAGAGAGAGGAGAGAGATACAGAAATAGAGACACAGAGTGAGGGACAGAGAGACACACAGCGAGAGAGAGAGACACACAGAGAGGGGGGGCAGAGAGAGAGGGGGGACACAGAGAGAGAGAAAAGATAGAGAGAGAGGGACAGAGAAGGAGGGAGTGTGGCGTTGCGAAATTTCGGTGACATGCTGAATACATCACTTTATTCACTTGTGGGCCTGCCAAATGATTGATATTTTTCAATAAAATCACTTTTCATATTGTCTCACGAATTCAAACAATTCCCATTTCCTATTCTTCTATACAGATGGAAATGAAAATACATATTTTTTTTTTCATTCAAAAAAATATAAATTTTTCCAGAACGTCGAAGCCATCAATTGGTTTGCCATAAAATTGCATTTAAATTTATAAAAAGTGTATTTCATGGAGAAGTAAAGCTTTTTTGATTCGGTTTTTCATTTATTATCCACATTAAAAAGAAAAGAGCATTCAAAAAGGTATTCACATAAGTTTCTTGTCAGTTAATAATTGAATTTTTGTGCTAAATTTTTTTATTATCAATTGATTGATTGATAGCAATCCATTTAAGTAACAATATGACATCAATATCAAATTGAAAAGGATATATTTTTAGAAGGGATTAATTCTTGAGAAAGAAAGCTATCGGCTTTCTACTTCTCGAGTCGTAACTTGATCATGCCGAGTCTGAGTCATCTCCTGATTTATGCCGAGACTGAGTCATCTCCTGATTAAGCTGAGTCTGGGTCATTTCCTGATTGATACCGAGACGAAGTCATCTCCTGATTATTGTGAGACTGAGTAGTCTCCTGATTTATGACGAGACTGAGTCGTCTCCTGATTATGCCGAGACTGAGTCATTTCCTGATGATGCTGAGACTGAGTCATCTCCTGATGATGGTAACTTGGTTAGCGAAGCGCATGTCGAGAGACAGAAAAACATTCATCACTGACTATCAAAGCATCTTTTTATGAATCTGATCTACCGTTCTTTGGAAGCTTCCCATTATTTTTATATTATTGGAGAAGTAGAATGCCAAATAGGTTTTACTAAATCAGATTCAGATACCTGAAAATAATGAAAATCAAGAACACAACTCAATTTTTGCATTTGAAACGGTATAAATATAAACGTGCGTATATATATTTTTAAAAATATTACTTATTTTGATTGGGACAGAATAAAAAATGTAGGGTATCAACAATTTTCATAAAAAAAAATGATTATCACTAGGTATACCTTTGATGTTTCTGATGATGGCGGCCATTGATGTCTGCGAAACGTCTAGAAAGATTTTATCAAACGGATGATGTGAAAGATGTCGAGGAACGATAATACAAAGTCTTAATTGGTGATAATAGTAATGAATTTTGGGAAAACCAATTGATTCAGCTTAGTAATATTGCCCAAATGATTTTACATCAACATTCACCAAAAATATGGAAGTTTGTTGTGGTGTAGTTTTGAATTCTATACAAAACCTCAATATTTATATTATGCAATCACTAACTTGAAGAATATAATGGATCAATTGCAAAGGATATATTTTTAGAAGGGATTAATTTTGGAGCAAGAAATATTTTAGCTTTCTTCTCCATCTTCATACAAAAAGATGTGTATTCCTTTCTTAGGAAGATTCTCACGTTTTTGTATGAAGATGGAGAAGTAGAAAGTTAAAACCTTCTTCCATTCCCAAAAATATAATGATATTTCTGTAATTTATCAGCCACTAAGCACCCGACCGATAATTATTTGGTAGGCCCCGTAACCTTGTAATACTCTTGGAATAAAATTAAAAAGTGAGATACATGTTATTATTATGTATTATTAATTGTATTGATTACTTTTAAGTTGTGTATGTACATAGGCTGTATGTAAATAAATATTATATTCATTGATAAGCGATGAGATACAAATTTTCAAAAGAATAAAATATGAAAATATTCCAGCTGTTTTTGATTCGTTTCGGTTTTTATTTCCATTTCTCAGTTTGTTTCTTTTACAGTAGTTTTGACTGGAAAAAAAGACTTTTGAGTTCGGTTGCTGATTCTGCTCACGAGATTTTTTTAACCATTCCAGCTTAAATGACTTCACATACATTTGAAAAATATTTATACAACAATATAGTGTAGCTAACCTCTCATGAGATCACGGCAATTTAGACTTAGACCAGAGACTTTCGAACCAGAGTCGTTATCGCCGGAGTTGATTTTGTAACAAGCTGTTTCAGCCAAAGTTGTTTTGATCGAGTTGTTGAGACCTAAGTTGTTAAGGTCCGGCTTATCTTGACCGATCACCAATAAATAATGTTGTATTTTTATTGTAATTCTATCAAAATGGGTTAGACTTTCGCGGCTGAGGTTTTCAGTGGCCATGTTTTTCGAGTTTGAAAGCCGCGAATTTTTGGAATTTCTTCCTGACGTTTTGCTGGCGCGAGTGGCTAGCTTCTTCAGCTTACGAATCCTAAAAGTTAGTCATCGAACAGAAAGCCATGATGGTTAAACCTCTGAAGAAGTT